GGTGGCCTGACTCTGTGGAAAGGAACTTCCAGTGCTCTACTTAGGAAGGCCCAGTTAGTGCCTTGCACTGATCTAGTTGTTGAAAGTATTTATTTATTGCCCCTCAGCTCACAAGGGCTCCGGAGTCAGTCCGTGTTGCAGAGTTTTGAATTTTCAGTTAAATTCCTCTAGCTGCACCGCAGGGATTTGCAGAGGAGAAGAAAAACAAGCTTCCTAAATTAGTCTACCCCTTTTTTTCTAGCACTTCCCAGCCTCAGTAACTCACTCAGGCACATTTGGAAGAGAAAGAATTAAAAAAAAATTCTTTACTTACAGTTGTGGACAGATCGGACAGCAAACTGACAAACATGACAGCCTTTATCAACACACCTCAACCGAAAACTGACTGCTTCCAACAGACTCAAGGGAGGGAAAGAGCACTGAGCAGAGAGGCGGGGCTCTCTTTGAATGCAGAGGCAGAAGGGAATGATTGGTTGGTGCTGTTAGTGATTGACAGTCACCGCAGCCCAGAAATATCCCTCCCAGCCAAACCTACTAAAGGCAACATGCGAAGTTGTAAAAACTTCAACAGTCCCAAACTATAAAATACAGCTGTTTCCCTGGGAAATGTATTTGAAAAAATAACAACACAATTTTAAGTCAGTGCTCTTTTAGAAACGATCTGTGGGTCTAAGATCCAGGTTTAAAACCCCAAAAGCCATAGGAAAGAAAAAGTCATCAGGTGCTTCCAACCGGCGAAGTAGGTCCGGTTTTCTGTGGGAGATCTGGAGGGACCTGGGTTCGAGGAAGGACAAGGAGAATGCAGGGGTTGTGGGGCTGGCCCACCAGTATTTTTCCTTGGTTTGATGGGTTCGTGTTTCCTTTTGCCCCTATGCCTGGTCTGTCTCTTGTAGAGCGTGGAACACCGGGTCCTCTCGCGAGACCCGTCTACCGACCTGGAGTTCAAGCAGCCCGATTCGGGGATGTCTTCGCCCAACACCACCGTGTCTGCCCCACAGGCCCACTTCAACCTGGGTTCGCCTAGCAGCACCCTCTCCAACTACGACTCCTGCAACTCCAGTCAGTCCAGCACAGGAGAGAAACGGAACAGCCAGGCCTCCCGTAAGCATCAGGCGGGGGGAGACCCTCCCTCGGACGGCGCTTCCCGTAAGCATCAGGCGGGTTGGGGCACTTGCTGGGAGGCAGGGGTGTCGGCTCTTCACAGAGCATGGGATTGTAGTTTTAAAAAATGCAGTTAGCGGCGCTCATAAACCCAAAGTAATTCATTACTAGTAATTAGTTACACGTTCTTTTAAAAGTAACTCATTACTTTTGTGGTATGCAGAAGCAGATCTTTGAGACATTGCCCTTTGGGACAACACCTCTCTGGATCCTCCCTGTTGGCTTCAAAAAAGTGATATTTTGGGTCTCTGTTCAAAAATAACTTGAGTAGCTACTGTTAATACTTTCAAGTTACCAGTAGTACTTTTAAACAGCTGGTAGCTTACTTTTTTAACTGTTGTGCATCTCTTGGGAATTCTGTGAATGCTGACTCACCGCTGAGCAATTGATTCAATAGGGCTGTTCTAGTACGAACTAGCTATAGTCAAAACTTTGTTTCTTTTAATACTGTAAGCCACCTGGGATCCTTTAGGAGAGAGGTGGCATACAAATATTTTAAATAAATCAATAGGATTATGGCCTCCTGGTTTACCTTTCAACTTAGCTATGGCATTTAACTAAAATAAATTGCAATGCCAGAAGCTGCTACAAACAGCATGCTGCAACATAAAAGTGACTCAAAGCAGTAATAGCTGCGCTGGGGAAGGAGTGAAACCATCCTTTTATAACAGTATGGTAACTTGATTATGCAGTAGTTATTGAAGGAA